ATGGCTGTGTTTCTGGGGGTGATCAGAGCCTGCTCCCCCTCACACCACTAAGCACCATCTCTGTCTTGCAGGAGGTTGCACAGCAAGGCGAGGACTCAGCCTGGGCTTTGGGCTGCACCATGAACATCAAGAGGCAACACAATAGAGGTGACCCAGCTCCTCGTTCCATCATCAGGCCACGCTCTGCCCAAGCTGGATGGACGTGGACATATTGCTGCTGCTACGAGCAAACCCGTTCAACTCCTCCGAGGGCTGTTCTCAGGTCTTTGGGTCCTGATTTCCATGTTTAAGAGAGGATGGGCCTTTCCTCACCCTCGTGCACGGGTTGTCCTGGGGATGTGGAACACGGTGCAGGGAGGCAGAGCATTGGGTGGCTGACGCTGGATGCTCCGTCTCTTCCCTCTAGTGGTTACTTGGAAGAAACTTCTCCCTGGTGCCAGCACCCGTCAGGTCCTTTGCAGCTGCCAACAGCAGCTCCACTGGGACAGAGGGTGCTGGCATCACCCCTTTTCCCTAAGAGAAGTAACTCCCCCTTTGCTGAACTGCACCAGAGACGTTTCCATGGAGGATGACACTTTCTCCCACAGTGTTTTCCTACCTCACATCCAAGCATTTGAGCCCAGGCAGGTGAGGGTGGGAGAGAGTGAGCCAAGGCCATTGGTCTCTGTGCTGGCAAACTCCAGGTACACTGGTGGCAGTGACTGGCCACTGGAGCTTGCTGGTTTCAGAGCCTGCATCTGGAGCAACCTGCCAGCAAGGATGTGCCTGTGGAGGCCTCCACATCCCCTGCTCAGCCCTTACAAGCCAAGGCAGCTGACACCCACCTTTGCAGCCAGAAGCAGGAGCAGGCACTGACTAAGTCAGATGTGTCATGGGGAAAACTGTTACCTGGCTTCTGCCCTCCTCACAGCAGCAAATTAACATCCCACAGTAAACACGCAGCCTGCAATTAAAAGGAACCCAGTCCTCGTTTTTCATTTTCAGTTGTGATTAACATCTGCAACCTCATAACATTATTTCTGTGGTTGGAAATGCAGTGCTTGCCCATCCTTCAGCAGGGGCACCCTGTCAGCCCCACAGGGAAAGGTGAGACACTGCTGCTAGCAGGGACTCAGAGCAGAGGAGCAGCCTGCTTTTCCTCCACGGTTAAAAGCCCTTGTTTTTCCAGCATGCAGGAATGTGTGTGCAATGTGCAGTGCAGAATCAGCTCAGTCCCCTGCCCCTGTGGGAGGGGAGGAGGTTCTGGCAGCGCTGAAACAGCTTCGCTGCACGTTTGCAGTACTTTAGGACGCTAAAGGCTGCCCTGGTACCTCCCACACCCCAAGGAGTCTGGATCCTCCCCTTGGCATCCTTTTCCCAAAGCCTCCTTCTCCCCATCCTGCTCTCTATATATTTGAACCCCCACAGAGTTGCATCTTCTCTCTTGACGTGCTCCGAGCAGGCAGGATGCAGGCAGGATCGTCTCCTTCCACTGCTCTTCAGCAGGTGAGATCCAGCCCAGCCTCCACAACAGGTAAGAGATCTCTCCGTTGACTGCAGCTTGCTCTCAAGAGAAGACTTGGGACTGCTGCTGCCTTTTGGCCGTGGGCTCTGCTCTGGAGTCCTCCTAAACTCATTTGGATCCGGGTCCTGTGGTTTTGTTACTCTGACACCCAGAAAGCATAAAGTGAAAAGAAACATGGGGACGAATGTGTTTTCTCTGGGCAGGAAAGGGTTTCTTTTCTCAAGCTTCTAAAAGTGCCAGGAAACATTTAGGTAGACTGCTGATTAAAAGCCTTCTAACTATTCCCTCATTTATTCAGCTGCAACTTGTACAGGCTGTGCTTGCTATAGTCAGATCTACCATGGCAGGGAGCCCCCAGTGTGAAGTCTGGCTTCGATGGGGCTGGTTTTGCAGGAGTAATGTAAGGAGAAGGGAGAAGCAAGCTGTAGGGGTGGTTTCTCACTGCTTCAGGTAGGAGCATTTCCCTGGAGGAGCAGGGACACGAGTAATGGAGAAGAATAAAACCAAGTAAGAAGCTGACGAAGCAAAGCTGAGGTGTACAATTTAGCCAGGGTTTTCCTCCCTCTCCTCAGGCTTGCCACTGTAGATGGGGAGAAGGGTCCTGCTGGTGGTGGTGGCTGTTTCCTGACAACTCTCCTTCTACAGCATTAAGAAAAACCCCCTCAGCAGTTTTCAGGTGCTTTGGGGAGCGAGGCTGGTGGGGTTTGACGGGCCTGGAGACCCACAGCAGCAGCACAGGGACTGGCAGGATGATGCCAGGAGCTGGCATCCTGGCTCGCCTTGGGTGGGATCTCCAGCCACTCCAGCAAGCAGTTCCTTTGGAAAAGGGGATTAAAAGAACCTGCTGTCATCTCATTTCTGTTTGTCTCTGCTCTCCCCAATGCAGAGAAGTGTGGAGCGTGTGGTCCTGGCTTCGCCTCACCTCTGGATGCCATGAAAGGCAAGTCTGAAACCCCAGGCAGGCAGGGAAGGGAAAAGCTGTGGTGATGGAGTGAACATTAAAACGCTTTCAAGAGGGCGTTATCAATTAACTCCCTTCTCTGAGGAGGCTCCCAGCAAGCGTAGGGAAGCGATGGTTTTGTTTCTGGTCTGTCCTGAGGCCAAACATCAATTGCATAATGACAGCTTGGTGTCAGAACAAACCCTTTCAGGTTTTGGGCTGGCTTGGGATGGGTCATAGCCTGCAGCAGAGTCACCTGTGGCTTCCCTGGGCAAAACCAAATGGATTTTTTCAGTTTCTCAGAGGCAATTGTATTGGTAGAGCCCCACGACACCACCAGACACCACCAATGGAGTTGAACCTGGGAAGGGAGAGGTGACCATCCTCATCCATTGCACTCTGGCCTCATAGCTAAGATCACAACGTGACAAAACCTTCTTGTATAAAAACCAGCCTCATGGGCTGCTTCCTTACATGTCTGGACTCTTTACCTGAGTATCCTTCTTGCTGCGTTGCCAAAACACTGGTGCTCTGCTGTGAAGAGGCTGATGAATGCATCATTTCTGGCCATCCCTCCCTTAATCCTCTTCTGTAGGGCTTAGCAAACACCTCTGAGAAACCTTAAAGGGCTCTGGAGCTTGCTCATGATCTGTGAGTCCTCTCCTGACATGTCTTTGAACCATGAAGAAAACCACAGTGAAGAGATGAGGCTTTAAAACAGCCACATGTGTTGGCAGGGCTGGGCAGGGATTGAAAGGAGTAGATTTTTGCTGCTTGGTAGGACTATGGGATGGCCCAAGGGCCTGGGGGGGTTCTGCCTTTGACTCAGCCTCGTGCCTCTGGTACGGCAGAGATGCACATCCAACCACCCCATAAACATGGGGGAGCACACGGGCCCCCCCGGAGGGAGATCCAGGCTGATAGAGGCAAGGTTTTGATTCTGTCAAAGGTGGTTTCTGCTGATGCTCATGGAACGTTTCTGTCTTGAAAGGTCCCCGGGAGGAGATTGTGTATGTGCCCTGCATCTACAGGAACACAGGGAGGAAGAAACCTGACTTTCTGGCCACTGTGGATGTCAACCCCCAATCTCCACACTACTGTGAGGTACCAAACACTTTATCTCAGCCTGGGAAACAGCCCAGTGCTTGTCCTTCCCTCTCCCCAAAGCTGCTGGCTCAGTCCGGAGGCCGATGCCTGCCCTGTTCTCCCCAAGACCCTGACCCTTTCTGTGCCTACAAACTACACATGAACTCCACTCCACACCCCATCCTCAGGCTCCCCCGTGCACCATCGCTCCCCCTCGGGGGGTGGGGAGGCACGGTCTCGGT